TATTAAAGAGATTTATTTTTAAATTTCGAAATTTAACCCCTCGAATATTTTACATATTCATGAAATGGTAATTAGATTAATCAGAGTACCACGAACGGTTAGTTGTATAAGTTACCTTCTTTCAAAGTGGCTGGTCCAAGGGTATACAGTTTATAACATGTACATGTACATGAATTAACAGCACACTCCCTAAACACGTACCGCCTGAATATAATAAGCTGTACATTTGCAGAGAGCATTTTGTAGGGTATTGTCTGGTCTAAGAATGGTTGCCATACCCACGGGGCTATTGGCGAGTGACGTCACTTATATTACTTAAAGGGCATGACTCTCGGTTTTGCTGACATTCGCCTTTTAATATTATTACAACTTTATGAAGGATATTACTTTTTTAAAAAGAAAAACCCCTCACATGTTCGTCTGTGTACGTACAGTATGTTCAAATGTGGGCCATCGATTGCAGCTATTTTTGCCACTTTCATATCAGGGATGTGTTTTTTTCTTTTGTTTGAAATCCTTGTAAAATTATCGTAACACTGGAATCACATTTCCTTCAAAGGTCAGTGTTCTGCCATCTAAATGATTGATTCCGTACAGTACGTAGTCAATTGTATCACAAAACAGATGATGTAGGTCTCGCTGCTCCGTGTACGTTCACTTTATTATTGTGAACGTCTTGGTACTAAACACAGACGAGTCTGGCTACAGACTCAGTGTCTGTCCTCGCTAACAATGACATTTATGATCAATAGTATTGATCGGAAGCCGAGGACAGTTTTTTCTTACAGTATTTATTTGATTTATTATAATAACAATCCAATTTTCTGCTTATGAATTAATTGAAGTTTCGCTCTCACATGGTGATAAAATCACCCCTGTTGAAGGTATTAACTTTAAAAGACCCTCCCCCTTTTAGAATACATTGTTTCAGCTACAGAGGTCTTGTGTGGTAGCCATCTTGCAGGGCAAGTCTTTCGTTGCATAGGGACACCTAATTTGTGCGTACCCTGTGGAATAAAAGCACTGGCCCGTAAGATGGCAGCCATTCAAACCCTCTATTTAAACTCAACATTTCAAAGCCTGTGACCAAAGTCTTCCTTTCCGAGCGAGGTCGGTCATCACTTTCACTGTTGAAGGGGAAAAAAAGTTGTTTTTATCAACAGAACCCGCGCAGGTCACTTTTGTGCAAAGCTTAACAAAGCTATACTTCAATACATATCGAAAGGTAAAAAAGAAAATGATTAGACGCCCCCAGAAAACTGGCATTCCTTTTATGAGGCCAGCCAGCGTGTCCCCCCTCAATCACAAAGACGTGACAAACTATGCACCCGCAAAAACCTTGGCCCGCCAAAGCCGCAACTGCACAAAGTCCAGTTCCCGATAGCGAGGTCAAAATATGACGACCAGAAATCTCAAGTTCTTTGCTGGGTTATTTTGCACTTTTTTTCTCAGGACGTGATCGCTTCTCTAGCTTTTATGTGCATGACGGGCGTTTATACCATCGAGTAAATCTCTACCCAGAGCCAATGTAGTTTTGTGCATGTACATGTATATTAACATTATGTGTGTAGCAGCTGTTGGGCTTCGTTCGTGTCGTTTCATTTCTTTATATTTCAAGGTCGGTTGAAATTTAAAAATTTACAACCCTGCTTCAAATTAAAAATGCATAGGATGAAAACCTTTCACAATATCAGATCTCTTCAACAGACCACACTCATTTTGCCTACAACTTGTATGGGCGGCCAAATAAAAAAATACCCTTTTGGTTAGTTTTCGATTTTACTTCAAATTCGTTCGAAATGTTTACCGTATGGGGTATTTTTCATTTATCACTTAGTTGTTCGTGTATTATTGCCTGGTGTTTTGATAGCTGCGTGGGATTTTTGGCACTTTGTGAATCACTCTTGTTCATTATTGTACTGACGGCCGGCCATAGTTTTAGCTGCCGCTTGTAGGAAAACACGACGTAAGAAGAGCAGACCTTATAGGCCTACAGGGAAGAAATGAGGCTAGCAATGTATGATTCCGGTTCGACATTTTGGGGGCGGAGCTATAATGACTGCGGCTTGGCAATCGTTTGAGAAATGCTAACGAGCGTTCCGGAGAATGTTCCTATAGGATATGAATCTCAGTGAATTCCAACAAGGTTTCAAAGGGGTGGGGAAAATTTGGAAAAAAAATAAGAATCTGCTTTGGGAATTGAATGCCCCCCCCCAAAAAAAACCCGAAAGTTGTCCCTCGTGAATCTCATTCTGAATACAATCAAGATTGATAAGAGGTCGACATTGCTACAAAAGGACTGAACAAAAGAACAGAAGAGAACACCTCATTCCAGAAACTTGGATTTTAACCATTTGCCTATCTGAGCTAGCTTTCGTGGTAGGAAAGTTATTCTGTGGGAAGCTATTATTGTTAGTGAATATTTTGAACAGGCATGACTGCCTGGAATTATGTTCAGAACCTACGGAAATTTCCCAGCTCAGACTTAGAATACATTTTACAGGATTTTCTTTTCCTGCACGAACGCAGTTGCCAAAGTGTTTAATTTGTCTGAGTGACAACGGCGCGTGACGCTCAAAAGAGGGCGTGTAATTTTGCTTGGGAAGGAATGTGCGTCAGAAGCCAGGGCGTTCATCTAGCGAGCTTCTCCACACGGTTCAGATCAAACCACATGCCCCCTTGTAAGCATAGTGAGTAATTTCGGATGGTATTTCGCAAAGAGACGAATGAGGATTATTTGAACTCTCGCAAGCGCTGCAGACTTGGGTTGCACGTGTTCTTTCGGATCATGATGCTAACCTGTGGTATCCGGGATATGACACGCACTTTCCGATTTAGGGACCATGACCTGTACTGTGGTTAACAAAATAGGGTTTGGAATGAAATTCGTTTTCTGCGTCCTTGCGGGGTGAAAAAGTACCAGTTATAGACAAGCAAACTCTGATTTCTACTGGTATCGAGAAGTAAAAGGTTAACGATGGCATTGCGTGGTGGTTTTTAATTCCAGAATTGACTGATTCTCCCACATGTTTATCAAATCCAATGCAATTGTAACAAACTGACCTTGTCCCTGAAACTTATTTGCAGGGAAACCCACTCAAAATTGGTGGGCTCTAGTCATGCGAAAACTCACAAACAAGGTGTCAAAAAAATCAATGAAGTTGGTGCTTTGGTCGCAAATGAGTGACCATTTCATCGACGTGGGCGTAGCTGACTGCCAGTGCGGTTTGCGCATGACCGTGGCGATGACGTCATGCGCACTAACAGTGGCAACACCATCATACGCAGTGACCGCAACAAAAATGGGAAGCATGTATTGAGACGATGTAGTATTTCCTCCCGTCGCATTGCGTGCGTTACGACTTTTACAGGAGATAGTGAAGTTTAGTAAACAAGCAGACCACAAAATAGCTCAAATTTACTCATTTGGAACGCGTCCATTGGATCGAGCTTGATTTCCTGCGCTTTCATTATCCATTATATTTTGCGGAAGTTCCGTTTTTTTCTCAGGAATGAGACTAAGCAAAAGTTACATTTTGAACTTGGACGTTTTGTTTTTGTAAATAAGCCACGTCTTGAATGTCCAATATTTGTTATGAGTATTGAACATAAGTATATTTCAGTTTCTTTGCATTTTCTTCATTGCATGGTTGTGTTCATGTGACGCTTGTGACGGGCACATACAATGTTTGCATTAATTTTCTTGTGAAATGACAGAAAAGCAAATTGATAATTCAGAGCCGGCGTGAAAAATATTAGTTGTTGTTAACAACAACTGCATTGATCGCTAGTGGCACTTACCGCCAGTGCAGGAAGTGCTGGGCATTCGCCTTGAGCAAAAGCACCCCCTCATCGGTTGAAACGAGCCATGTCGGTCGGGAATGTTCACTTTCCTGGTAGCGACGCACCCTTATATCATAGTCACAGCATAGCTTCAAATCCTACTTATATCATAGTCGTTTGTGAACCAGCAAAGTGCAGTTCCCGACCAAAGGAGCCAACTTTGCTCGGAAAATTGCGCCCTCTGTTGTTGCAGCTAAGCGCTAATTATGCAAAGATTAGTAAACTGCTGTTGCTGAAGACAATTCCTTGAAAAGTCAGACGATGAAGCTTTCTTACATACACTGTTTGTGCGTCTTTGTTCTCGTCTCCAATGTGTGAAAATCAGTTTGACACCCTTGTAAATTGAGCTGATTGAAGAGTGCCGTCTAGAGGGAGGTACCTCTCCTGGCATTAAGATGTCAATAAAGAAGTTACTCCTAGGTTTATAATTGTTTTCTGTTCATTGCAAATATTTCAAAGAAAGATTTACTCATTGGCTCATTGCCATGTATAGAAAGAGTCACCAAAGAAAGGGAAAAGGGAATTAAAGAAGCAGCAAAACTGTGACGAATTATTCCAGTTGATTTCCTCGTGTATGTGCAGTCTGTTTAGTGCAGCAACGAGCTCTCGGCAAAATCACGCCCCACTTTAGCTTGTGAGTGTGTGAGCACTGAAAACCGAAAGACAGCAAAATGACTTTTGAAATGAAAGAAAAATTGCACCCACGGTTGATATAAACTGGTTTGCAGTGGCGGGGGTTGTAGATATGCACTAAAAATTCCTTCGAGTAAAATTTAAACCCATGGCAGAGTAACCACTTCAGATCTCCCAAACGGGGTTGTTTTTAACCCAGTCCTGAGGACTAGAATTATTGTATTGTTCATTTTTCACCAACAACGTGGGTGAATGTTACCCAATTTTCGTGGTCAAAATACCCGAGCTTAATTTAGACCATCAAAATCGGATTGACAATTGTTGGTCTGTGCCGTTTTCACACTCTGTCTGTGTGAAAATTTAACCCAGGCAAGTGTGTAGTGCATCTACCCTTCAACCAGAGTATTCCAAAACCAGGGCAAGGTGAGTGTTTGGAAACTTGACCTTTGTTATCGGCGTTTTGGAGAAAGAGCGGGCGGGCAGAACTAATCTTCTAATCCTGTGGTGTTCATCTCTTGGCGCAGATAGTCCTAACCCGTCAATCATGGCCAAGCTGGAAGGGTGCGCAAACTGCGCCAAGATTCTTCTGATCGTCTTCAACATCGTCTTTTTCGTGAGTGGCAGCACGTTTATCTCATTATTTCAGCTTTTTGTCTTCTCTGTCTGACTCTTGGCCAAAGAATTTTTTGGCAAATGTTGCTCAAATTGAATGAGTTAGCACGACCTGTCACAAAATATTGTTTTGAGATTTCAGTTTGGAGATTTCCGGAATTGTTTCTGCCGTTTGTTTGGCGTTGCATTGAAAGTCAAGAAAACAGATGACAGAGGAAAGTTTGAATTTGTTACATTTACATGGAAGTTCTAGATAAACCTTTGATCAATGGATTGCAAAAAAATTCCTTCCAGTTCTATTCTGCCTTTTTTTTTCGATATTTGCCACGTAATTTGTAGATTGTCGGTATCGCGCTCCTGGCTGTGGGGATATGGGTGGTGACCAGCCCGTACAACCTCGACATCCTGTCGATCTTAGACAATCCCATCCTAGAGAGCGGTGCCTACTTCATCATCGCCTTGGGTGCCTTCATCTTTGTGGTCAGCTTCCTCGGCTGCTGTGGAGCGTGGATGGAGAACAGACTGATGCTCATCATCGTAAGTAAACCGCACGCCAGGGGTGGCAGGTTAGAACTCACGTAGGATCCAGGACCAAAACTTTGGGGAAGGATTCATTAGCATGTTGTGCTAGAGTGGTGGTCAATGGACCGCTAGCAATGCGCTCCTCGGTTTGCACGGTCAGTCCCTGGCACACGCGCGGTTGAACTACGACGCTTGTGGCTTCATTGGCTTTAGACTGGATAACCTGTCCTGGACTTCAGGGATGGGGGATTATCTGGATAATGAGACGAAGTGAAAGAATCTGTGTTACGTCTCATGAGGACTTTTTGTACGTGCCAGGACAGGCAATGGGTCCCTTAGTGTTACCTAATTAATATGTATATTGCTATTAAATAACCATGTTTAAATGCACATTTCCAGTCGATTAAGTACTATACACATTTGTAAAGTTCGAATAACGACCGTTTGTAGACGACTGTTCGAGTTTCCCTGGTAACATGTGCACAAAATGCATCCGGGGTACCAGCCAGAATCCGCTAGTCCTTTAATGGCTACTCGGTTCTGAACTTATATTGACACCTAATTACTAAACCTTTGTTTCTCGTTTCAGTACTTCATCATTGTCCTGCTGATCTTCATCGCACAACTTATCGGTTGCGCTGTCATCATCGCTTACAAAGACAAGGTACATTGTCAGTTACGCCAAAAAATGGGTCCTGTCAGCGTCCTCTTCTAAGTCTTTTCCAAACAAAATGCTGTATTGATTATATCTTTGAACTGTTTCACTGCAAAAAGCCTTCTTCTAAATACCCTCTTGGTTTTAGTTGGTAAACATGCTTGAATAATCAACACGTTTAGAGTTTTGATGGATCGAGCTTAGCTGTCGAACACATGCTAAAAAATCTGACAACTAGTGTGCAACGCCCAAACGTGTTTAAAAAAATGGTAAGGTTGTGTTTACGATTAATTGGTCGTGCATGCCAACATTTTTGTGAGGCTTGATAATTTGGCAGTTTCTCTTCGCATTCTTGGCAGGTGGATGCCTTTGTGACGAACCAACTGCGCAAAACTATGAACAACTACGAGGGCGAGGCTGCTGAAAACAAGTACAGCCAGGGCTGGAACGCCCTCCAGGTTTTGGTGAGCAGTCGAGCCCCAAGGATGAGACAGTTTGGTATTTTGAAAAACGGGAAGGTCATTCGGGAACAAAGCGCGCCTATGACCTCGGACCCACTTCATTGTGGGCATGCGCTGTTGGAACACGGAACTGGCTCATTATGTGGTTACGGTTGGAGAAAGACAAAGTGACCTCCTTTTGAATATTCAGGTTTGCAGAGAATTATTCTAAATCATTTGAGCTGGCTGTTCTTTTTCCAGCTTGAGTGCTGTGGTACTAACAACTACACAGACTGGATGGACACACCCTGGTATGGCAACAACACGAACATCATGGTGGGCGGGCAATCTCTCAAGCCGGAGTGGCCTGCAACTTGTTGTAAGGTAGGTGGAGCCGGCAAGAGAGAAGGGGGGTGGAAGTATGCTCGAAAGACACAAATCCTCACTCAACTGGGAGAGAGTTTCTTCAGTAGCATGCTGCTAATGTAAAAACTGAATGTTAAGACTAGATTCAACCCTTGAATGGCGCATCCCGATTTTGCCTGGTACCCAGGTCGTCTTTTGTGCTCACATGTAACGGCGGCAAACTGCATATTCAGCGGTCGACAAACTGAACCCTGGGGCACTTTTGTCTCAGTAGTGCACGAATAGCAAATAATCTGCGATGTGTACATTACGTTTTGTACGTTTCGAAATTTCAAAGGGGGAGGAGACCCGCGGGACGGAAAACAGCTTTTTGGCACGTCCCTCCTCTCCTCTGTACAACGATTGTGAACCTAAAGGAAGCAGTGTGCAGTTAATTTATGCTAATAGTAAGCTAAATCTGCATCTTGACTAGGCAGGGTCATTCGAGAACAAAGTACTACTGCGAGTCGCTGTACGGTCGCGGTGATTGGACAGACCTCGCGCGCGTTCAGCTGTTCTCGAATGACCCCTGAACGCGCTTCATTCGGGGGCACGCGCTGTAACTGCACGGCTTATTGTTTCGATTGTCTTTGCCCATTTGGCGTACCACAGGTGGACAACAACCTGGTGGTGTTCGAGGGCAAGTACCCAACGCCCAACAACTTGACCTACTGCTATGGCGTGGGTGTGAACGAGATGACGCGGGACATGTACCTCAACACGGAAGGCTGTTACCAAGCCTTCGAGGACTGGGTCAAGAGTCGCGCCCTCTACATCGGTGGCGTCGGACTGGGCCTGGCTTTCCTAGAGGTGAGTTGAATAAAGACACCATAAATGTTGGGGTCTCCCTTTTGGGAATTGTTTCCCCAAGGCAGAGGTGGGAAATTTAGAAAAAAAAAAGAAGTGTGCAGAAGTGTTTTAATTCTCTTTCTCCTGTTTTTTTGGCCACAAAATAGCGCCCTCTGTGTTTGCAGTTAGAAGCCAGTGGAAAGTATTTCGTTTTGCTACACGAAGTGACAGTAAACAAAATATTGGACAAAATTGATTTCATATGTGCAGTTTATAATACCAATTCTTGTTGATAAACTCAACTCGTATTTCCATCTTCCATAATGAATTTTTATTATGGTATTGTGTCCTTTAAAGTAGCATCATTATGAGTTGTTATGTTATCTCGACTTCAAATAATTTTACACAGATAATGGGGATGGTTCTGTCCATGTGCCTGGTCATCATTTTTAAGAAACAGTAAAAACGATTGAGATGAAAATGGTGAGGTTCGATGGCATGGATGTCGTGTTGATGTATACCGCCATGTTTGCTTGCATTTTCCCAACTCCGGGGATTTTTGTTTTTTTTGTTTTTGTTTTTTTTGCACAGCTGTACAATACGGGCGATTCACAATAGTGCGCCTCCAAGAGTTTGCAACGCGTTGACCAATCACAGAGCGCGACGTCTGTCGACCCTTTCACAGTGCGCATTGGGTCGACAGATTCCGCGCATTGTGATTGGCCAACGCGTTGCAAACTCTTGGAGGCGCATTATTAAGTAGAGTAGAAGTGACCATTACTGCAAGGAAAGCTGCGGCAACGAAGCGGTACTGCGTTCAGGGAGCGTCTGATCTTTTTTGCATAATAGTCTGGTTCCGGAAGAACAGAACGATATCTTCTTGTTCTTGCAACCATGATCTCTTTCGAGATTGACAACAGGTACCGACCGTGCATGCCGTTGAGGCCCAACGTGTAAATCGCTTCCACCTTCTTTTTCCCGCTAAATTTGCCCCCCAAACAGGTCATGGGAATGGTTCTGTCATTGAGCCTGTGCCAAGCAATCAGTTGGAAATCCAACTAGATTATTTGTCCAGTTTGACATATGACGGTGAGATTAAAAACTGGCGGGTGTGTCGATCTGAAACATGCATGGCCACTTGGCATGAATTACAAAAACATTCTTGGGCATGTCGAATAAAGAAAAACTCTCCACCTATGACAGGACGACTAGACCCAAATCAATATCATTTCGAGCTTTAAACTTAGTAGCAGTTAACTCCACGATGTATACAAAAAACGGAGTATCTTTGAAATGAAAAGCGAGGGCGTAGCTAAAGGTTTGGGGCAGTTTCGTCTTTCCCAGATTTTGCCGAAGAATTAAACCCTTGAAAAACATTTTTAAGTTCTTGAATCTTGTTTGTTTGTATATGACGAGGATTACAAAACAGGTAGAATGCGATAATGCACTTGTGATCATGAACAATCAACAACATGAATACGCATGGTAGTCTTGACAGCTTAATGAGCCCAAGCTGGACCAAGAGAAGGCGCAGGTACCCTAGCAACGCAAGCTCCTTTGGTAGAGACGGCCCTTTGCTGGTTCTCAAATGACTATGAAATGCACACGTCACGGTTGCGTTGCTACCAACGAAACGAACAGTCACATCTAAACATGGCTCCCTTCAACTGATGAGGTGGTGCCTCTGCTTAAGCCGGCAAAGAACCAGGCTTTTTCGGACAGTTTCATTACTGGGGGTTGGCTCTGCCCCAGAGAACTTGGCTGTCACACGCTCGTTCTTTTTGATATTATTTTGACGTTCATGTAAAAAAAAATCACATGTACATGTACATGTATGACATTTAAATACCATGCAATTTGGATTGTTACAGTCATTGCAGTTAGTGGCCTTACGCGTGTCGGCCCTCGTGTATCGAGCGCGGCAGTGGAAAAACTATACAGTTTTTAGATAACCTTCCTTAGAAACATTTGGCGTTCGCGAGAACGATTTGGTTGAAATTCACAAAATTGGTGTAGGAATGACTGCAATATGTTGCTTGCAAACTTCTTGGGGCGCAGTGCGAGAAATACACTGCGACATCATCGGAGGAAATGTCGAGATAGCTGATTGTACGCCCTCTCGCGGCTCTTAAGGGTTTTAGCCCATTTTAAAGTGATGCCGCTTTGTTTAAAAACCACGCAGCAGACTCATAGAGAGGTCCTGCATGGCAGCCATTTTGCCGGTAAGAGCTTTTATTCCACAGGGATCCACATGAATAGACCTTTTGTGTTTTCCCTCCGCGACAAAAGATGGCTGCCACGCAGATCTCTATTTGTGCATGAGTATCGCGGAATGTGTCAATGCATTTGGAATTCTAATTTTGCATGAATTGTTGGTCTTGTTGGCTCCTTTGTTGAATAAGTAAGGTTTACTTTGATGGTGACTCAAAAAGAAGAAAAATGCAGGGATATGAGAGAGTGACGTAGTTCTGCTCCTTTGCATGTGTTCGCAAGACTCCAAGCTTTGTAAAAAAGTTGAACTCGACCAGAGAAGTGAGGTTGCCTTATTTGCTAGCACATTACACTATCGTTCACAAATTAGTACTTATGCACGCCCCCCCCAAAAAATCAATGTTTTTAGGGCGCTGTTGTGTATAATAATTGGGCTTTTTATCCGAGAACGGTACCCTCAAATCTTATGAAAAATAGGTTCAAAATGCAACTCTGCAAATTCTGAAAGCGATAGAGAGAGAGAGGAAAAGACCTTGGTGCCAGAAAATGCTCCTTGACCTTTTTGAAGCATGGCAGACACAACAATATTTTCGACGAGTGGACTGAAATATTTGTTTCCTTCCATTCCTTACAGATCTTCTCCATGGTGTTTGCCATTTGTGTCTGCAGAGGCGCTGGCAAGGACGATTAAGCGGGGGGGAGAAATATCAAGATGGCGCCTTAGCAACCACACGTCATTTCAAAAAGCTGCTGGCTGAAACTCGCGAGCCGAATTCCCTCTTCACTTTTGCCCAGGGCACACTCACTGTTTTAAGCAAAGCGAAGCGTTAGCATTCTGTAAAATCACAAACGTCAATGTATAGCTGAAACGAGAAGCGCAGATTTCAGTTCAAATGAACGTAATTTCTTTCCTGGTTGCGGCAGCTTTTTTGATAAGACGTTTTAAGGTCACATGGTCACACCGCCGCGTGCAAAGCTGCGTACCAATCATGCTGCATTTCTCGTGAGGGCAAAGTCCTCGTGCGCACCCGTACAACTTCAAAACAAGGAAGACGGGGTACTAGACGTACAATTGCGGGTCGTTGAAAACATCAATGTTTAGCCCAAATGCCGCATGATTGGAACGCATCTGTCATGAAAAACCTCAAACGTGAAATATGTTTAGGCTATTCCACGGTATGTGAATATTATATGGTAGTTAAAAATTATTGAGTTTTAAAATGAATTTTAAATTGGAAATAAAAACAGATGTTAAGCCACAAGGCATAATCACTTTGCAAATGTACGTAATTTTAATTTGGCAGCATTCCACAAGGGATTTTGATTGTTTCATCTCGAATAGGGGTGTTTTCGGACTGTTCCATTTCTCAAAGGGTTATGGACGACTCCTTCGTTATGAACTCTTGTAACGATTTTTCTGTTTGAACAAATATTTAGAGGCTTATTTGTAAACATCAACATCTATATAAACTTACTTATCACTGTATTTTACTAAATAGCAATTTTGTCATCAAATGAAAGAGGCTTTTTAAAATCAAGAAACAATGATACATTGATTTGAAGTCCTGAGAAACTGAAAGATGCAAATAAATATTCGACACTGCATGAATATTTAAGAGACCGAATCTGAACAATTAGAATGACTCTACAGGAATTATGAATATTTATGCATGACATCCATATTCAGGATCCGGGAGCACTTCAAGGAGTGTCTTGTTTCTTCTTTGCATTATCACCAATTTTTCAATTATCAACACAGCAGTCTCATATTAGGGTAGCTTTAAACGCTGCAAGGAAAAAAGAAACAAAGAATACGGTAGTAGAAATATAGATAATGCAATGCATGCTTACAGTTAAAATTTGTATGAGGTTGTCGATTATGGTACATGTATGCATATTTTTACAGTTTTAAAATGTGTATATAGTCCTTTGAATGCATGTGACGCGTAAAAATGAGGCTGGAAAAAAGAATGATGTCAGTCATATTTTTGGCGTGATCTTGGACACAGTGAGGTCCATATTTGTATATTTCATCCATATCCTAACTTAGATGTCATGATCTGAAGCTAACACGTGTGGGTAGCTATGCAGGGGGAATAACATCATTAAGTTTACACAAGGCCAAATGGTACTTGGAGTTTTTGTTATTATGGGCACCGAGCGGAACCAGGAGAGGGCGCGATTTTTTTTATATTAATCTTGATATAGTTGAGTTCTGAAGACAAAAGACACTGCTTTCGATTTCAATGCTTCCAATTTATTTGTTCAGATACAATCGGAGAAAACATGTTTTTCTTAGAGGTGCTTTTTGAACACCTTGGCGCGCTTTCTGAGCTGCCTTTTGACCTGACTTATTTGAGTAGTATTTTTTTTTGGCGGCAGTTGCAAGATGAGGGCGCTCTTCGATATTAACCAGTTTTTTTGTGTTTCCAATCCCGGGAAGCATGCTTTTTATTACGCGACTGTCTGGGGGTGCACCATGTACTTTACAGTTAAAAAATGGGGTTGTTGCCAGTCTTGAGAGACTAGTTTCCAAGCCTCTCTTTTAAGCTTCCACTGTTGAAATGTCGGACTTCAAAAATCTTAGCACCACCGTGACGATTATAGGCGTAGTCTTTATTCAAGTCGTGTTTCCTCAGCGTCTCGTGTAAAACAAGATTTCACTCCCAGGCCAAAAGGTAGGTAAACTGAGGCTGGTTGCAGTGGGTTGAGCATTTGTAGGCCCAAGCAAGGAGTTGATGTCCCCTTGACCTTTGACGTATTACGCTTGAACAAAATGATAATTGATTGTAGCGGAAAAGTGCCATTTTTCTGTCTGGATTATCGATTTTTATTTGTTAGTTTTGATTGCATATATATTGGCCAGGTAGCTGTCTCCAAGTCGATTGTAAAAAGCGTGAAAGTTCTCGACCCATGTACATGTAATTCGCTTCAAATCTATTCAGGCGAAACGACGAAAAAGTGGGGAGTCGTTTCTCAGTCTGACTTAAACCACACCCCTCTCTCCACCATTGTCCATATTGTACCAGTACAAAAGGTGCTACTAATACCTTGAGCCGCAAGATGAATTCTATCCAATTTCCAGCGTGGGCTAGCTATATACCCAGCAAGAAATGAGACCGAGGGGTACCCCCCCCAACATGTCCAATCCCCATACACATTCCAGACTATTGTTACTTAACACACCCCCCCCATGTCTGAAAGGAATTCCCCAGATTCCTGCGAGACAATGACCAATACAAAGCAGGGGGGTTCTCTCCGTCTCATGCCTTGCTGCGTATGGCTAGCTATGTACATCTACATGTACACAAAAGCTTTAGGCTCCTGGCCCAAGCCGTGGTCAACTCTTCGGCTGGGTACGCGACTATTTGTTCTCATTTACATGAACGGTACAAACTGCTTGCATTTAAGTCAAGTACAGACATGTACCGTCTTCATTTCCTCACAAGTCCAAATGGGTTTATGTGATACGTTAGCCGTGGGGAATATGCCAGATTCAAGTTCTCAAAATCTATCGACGTAACTGTACGCAGTTAGGGAATTTTACAATTAACAACTATCAGGTTTGTCGAGTGGCCAATTTGGGATCCACGGCCCACTGTCTCTTCAAATGAAGACCACGTTAAAAACACTGCAATTAAAATGCTTATTCGTCGAAATCCGTATCAGTTAGTCGCCGAAGGAAATTATTTCGTGTGGAAAATACTTCAGTTGGGGTATCATCCGGGAGGTATCAGGTAAGTTTCTAAGGGATTAATCTCAGATCTGTAAAGTTATAACGTCGATGACGGTGCAGTCGCTGTGTCCCTTATCACCATCTATTGTCATGTCTGATTGGTTTTTCCAGTAAGTGGCCAAATAAGGTCGAGAGTATCCATTTTGTCGGTTAGCGATGCGACTGCAAAGCTTGCGTTTCCTGGTCGTAACGTTTGTGAACCAGCGATGCGCACTTACTGCCAAAGGAGCGTAGCTTGGGGCTGCGCATAATCAGAGAGAGAGAAGCCCCAACATCAGCAGGGCCAATTTTATGGAGCTTTAAGCACATAATTTGCTTAAGCGTGAAAAAACCTAGGTTGATAAATCAGGTGACCAGCCAAAACTCCATGTGATGTATCTGGTTTAGGAATGGTATTCACCTGTCGCTTGGTTTAGCACGACAATCACGTTGATTTTGAGCTAGTAACCGTTGTTTTTTGAGCAAGGTTTTTTGCGCTTAAGCGAAGTTTGTGCTTAAGCAGCTCTATGAAATTGGCCGACTTTGGAACCAAAACAGCTGTTCATTATTGTGTCCAGTACTATACAGCACGCAGCTATTGGATGCTGATTGTCCATAATCTGACGCTTGATCCACCATTTTGGTTCCAACAATAGAGACACTCATGTCGCAACTCTCTCTATAAACAGCTCTGTAGAGCAGTGGTAAACAGCGCTCCACACCACGCAAAGTTTTGTCATTTAACAAGGACTTATGATTATTATAACGTACCATATTAATTCGAGTGAACGAAATATTATGCCGAGACAACGAAATATATTTGAGGGAACAAAAAAAAAATAATAAAAAAGGCAACGAAAAAGGAGAAATGTAAGTCCCCCTATGGGCTCACTACAACCCCTTTCACTTGATATATATGTGTACATGTAGAAAAATCGTCGTGTGTATATCTATAGTGAATGAGGCGTATTTCACGTGATTGGCTATCCAGTGTTTTCTGTTGTGTACCGATTCACTTCATACTTAGGTGAGATATCGAGCTGATCGGAGTTCAGTTGATGTAAGCATGAAAAGAAAATACCGAGACTGGTGATGCATGATGCCAAAAGTTCAATCGAATTTTCAGGTGAAACTTTGACCGATTTGTTGAGGTCATACCATCCTTCTTTTTTAATATGATGGTGAGATATTCGGAAAAAAGAAACAAAAAGACGTATCTCTTGTGGGCATAATATATAGTTGGCCTCCATTCGAAAATTATACAATTTATTATTAAGAGAAAAACGGGATAAACCTCGCTTCGCTTCACTGGAAAACCAATTAAAATTTATAGAAGGAGACGTCGCAATGGGGAGTCGGTTTAATGGATGCTTTCGATGGTGTATATTCGCAAAGTTACTCTATGATTAATTAGCACTTACCCAATCAGACGCGAAGATTCGCGCCCCATTTTTCGAGCTCAATCTCTGTGCTGATTGGCTGTTAATGACGTCAGCCCGTTGAGCTGCCTACGCAGAGGAGGTTTATTGGTTTGAGTGTCGGTGACAAATACGAGCAGGCTTAACTGATCCACGCTCGAAATTCAGTCTCCGCATCTGAGAAAATGGACAGAGCTGCACCTATGATTGTGATCACACTGACAGGTAAGCCACTTTCCTTCCATGTCCAAGTAATGACGTCTCATTACATTTTGCGGAGAATCTTAGGCCGACAGTTGGTTAAAGTAATCACCTTATGGGGTTTATATAGGTTGGCCAGCTTTTAGTTTTGCAGAAGCATTTGAATTAAGAAACGGTTCATTTGCCGTTTTCGCCGTATTAAAGTGACTTCTTTTCAGCAACATCATTAATGTAACACATTAATGTAACACATTAAGTGTTACATTAACACTTCACTTAAGAGTTCTCAGTTGAGTCAGGTTTTTCGCACGGTGGTCATTGTTATTCAAGATCATCATTATTTGTCTTTGATTCCAAGTGTTATCGAGTGGTGTGGAGAGCAGAGCGAGGACATGTTACTTCGGTCCCCCTGCACCGAAACCTGATCCTGATAACCCGGATCACTGGATGAAGCAAGTCATGCGAGAGATACGAGAGCGTTGCCCAGGAAAGAGGGGATGCAGCACGGCTGGTAAGTTACTCGAGCGTCCGATAAACTTCAATGTTTGGATGAACGCGAGAGTGTCTTTTTCTATGATAACAAATGTAACAACTCATGAGGTTGAACAAGCAGAAGAATACGACAGGGACCTAATTTGTATATTTCAGTGAATTTCCAATTTTAAAGCCTATTCTTTGTACAAATGTCTCCTTGACGTGTCAAGTGACACAATTTTGGATGATGATAAATCCAAGATGGCGCCTTCGTTAGCGTGTGGTCTTGACTTAAGGCGCGAGCAAATTCTGAAAACATCCCATGGTGAGAGAGGCATCTGATAAACACACACATAAAGCTCGCGTTGTATTTAGAATGTATTGGGTTCAATGCTAAACCCACAATTTTTGTGCCAGTTTACCCGCCCTGAGCTGAAGTGCACCCTCACCAAAGAAAGACAAACAGATGGTACCAGGTTTTCCAACCGGGTTCTCGAGCGCTTTTGGTGTGCACGCATCACGCATGCTCCGCATCAAACACGATCCAACTTGCGCGCCCATGCGGTGAATGTGACTGTCAATTTCATTTCAAAATAGGCCCTCTTTTGTTCCTGCTCGGAGCGGATACACCGAGTTTGGAGGCTAAAACACATTCCGTGTGCTCGAGATCTAAACTATTATCACTTCTGTAATGAAGCATTTAAAATGTTATGATTGTATTTCGAAACAAAATTATGAATAAGGTTTTCTCTTTCGGGGCGGAGACACATTTTATATCAAGGGGTGGAGATTACTTCACGATCTGGTTCGTAGGTGACTTCGTCAGACACGCTCATATTATACACTCCCATTGGATGGACAGACAAGTTAACTCCGGTTTCATGGTTCCCTGTGCAGTGGGCGTGGTTTAAACCTGTGACGTCACACTTACAAACCGGATACAGCATTTTGCTTTTAAACTTGTAATCATCTCATGTCATTAATATTTTAAACCTCAGCATGTTGATAAAGAAAATACCCACAAGTTAATTGAATCTTTCAACCATGCCCATATTTATTACATCAAATACTTCAATACGCGATGAATACGTATACTTCAAATACTTCCCCATTTGGAGTAAAATCCCAAGAAATTATAATGTGAAATTCTTGTCCGGTACCGCTCACGTACCCACGAGAACCTACCTCCTTCTCTTCCGGGATCCCACAAAGCACCATAAACAAAGTGGCTGCACTGCCTTAGGATTCGCACTGCGTTTAAATTTAGATTCAAGTTAGGAAGTATACAGTAAAGCCTGTCTTTCGCTTTTCCCTGTTTGCCTGTAGACAAAGGACATACGGAGCCAGGACCCACGACAGTCAAGTGTGCGACCCCGGGGTCGTTGGGAATGGAGGACGGGACCATCTCTGATCACCAGATCTCGGCGTCGAGTAGTCACTCCTCGGGTTGCTGCTCTGCCTGGGTGGCACGCCTCAACGGCGAGAGCCGATGGAAACCCGATAGGTAGGCATCAAAATGGAGACAACTCACTCAGCAGGCCCCTCTCGCGCCCCCACACACCCTGCCCCCTCTCTTGGTCTGCTGTGGGCGAATAGACCTATATCTGTCCTGATGACGCCATACTTTGTGTACGTGTCTGCTAATGATGGTGCTTGGTGGACTGTGGGCCCTGACTTAGCTCCATGGGAACATGCACACGTAAACAAAGATTGACGTCATCAGTACGTAGGCTACCTTGGCACCCGATCCAACTACCCACCGCTACTTAAAAGCGAGGCCTGTGCAGCAAAATATCCTGCAAGAACTGTGATGCTAATATATTTTCGTATGATGCAATACAAAGCAAACTTACAAGTGAGGCTAGTCAGCGTCACGAAAATGTGTAAACAGAATGCTCAAACAAGCCTCACTTATAAGTTTGCCTACTGCATTGCATCATACGATAATATATTAGCACCACAGTTAGAGCATGGCTATTTTGCTGCACAGGCCTCGCTTAGCGGTGGGTAGTCGGATCCGGTGCACCTTGAAATCCATAACATACTGACGTCATGCTTTGATAACAATGTGCGTTTTCCTAATGTGGTGGTGAGGTGACGCACGATCCATCGACCAATCCCTAGGGAATGTACACGTAGATCAGAGAAATATGGAAGGGCAGCGTAGCACCGTGACCTGAATATCGACAAGAATATATAATATCAAATCAGTGCTCTGAAATATGTGATTGCCGAGCTTAACTGAATCTGCTTGCCCTGAAGAAGGTACTCATTTACCGAAAGCTCGGCAATCACATATTTCGGAGCACTCATTTCATATTATATTCTTGGGAATATACACGTGATTTAAGCGTGACGTCATAGTGTCTTGCGTCTACTGAGGGCCAGAGTTTGGTCAACAGAATTGTGATGATGACAGCACCCATGACACCAAAACCCACCGACAGAAAACGATTTCATTGTTCATTATATAAAAATGTTCTTTTTGTTGTTCCCAATCCCTATTCACCCCCAATGCCTATTTACTATAGTGGCGACGACAATCCCTGGATCGAGGTTGACCTCCGTAAGAGTACAGTTATCTCTGGCCTCATTACACAAGGAGGCGCCGGTGGTGGTCACGTGACTAAGTACAAGGTTGCGTATCAGAGCGAGCACTCATCTGCCCGGGTATATGTGACAAATGGAGACGGAACCATAAAGGTAAAAAACAGCAATGTTGATCCTTGTAGTCTTAGATTCTTATTTGGTTTAGCCCTTTTATATTTCTTTTCTTGTTTCTAGCTCCCGCAGCCTTTTGGTTCGTTTGTAAGATGTATACGTTTGATACCATAAACGCTATTTTGTAAGGAAATAATAAGACTTTTGCGAGTTAACTTTGACCCAAATCTGGTTCACTGAGTTCTTTAAATTACAAACATAATGATGAAACATTTAAATACTGGCCTTATAGCTCCAGGTGAGCTCAACGCCGTCTGAAGTCTTGTCGGAAGCGAAGGTTCATGAACGGTTTGATCAGTGGGTGGTTTTAGGAAATTTTATGCACGTATATGCACGTATATGCACTTTGGAGGCATGTGGCCTAGTGGTTAGGGTTTGTAGCCTCTGATGATGGGGTCAGGGGTTCGAATCCAGCTGGTGGCAGCATGCTATGATCCTGGGCAAGTCACTTTACTCCCATGTGGCTCTCTCCACCTAGAAGTAAATGGGTACCTGTGAGGGCAGACCCGGTTATGTTTAGCTGTTTGTGCCGAAAATGGCAGCACCAGGCTAGTATACTCCCCAGGGAGCTGAGATGGTTTCAGGAATGCTCAGATGATGTATGAGCCCAATGTACAGGAAGAATAATGGCGCTCATAAACGTTGTGGAAAGCACATTACAAATGTTGTAATTATTATTGTAATTAAAATGAATGTTCACTCTGATTTGTCTTTTTATTTCAGGTGTTCTACGGCAATACTGACGGCAACACCTTAGTCACCAACCAGTTTGATGAGAGCGTAGTGGCCACGACAGTGCGCATTGAACCGACTGCGTGGAGCGGTGGACTTCGTCTGCGAGTAGAATTGCTCGGATGTCGTCTGAGTTAATTCAAGAGCAGAGTGTCGGCGCTCACGGCATTTCATGACATGTTTTGGTACACCGCAGGGGCAAATAAATAAAAATTATCAAGAGATAATCCCACTTACACAAAACCATTGAGCGATGTCGCTTCCACCGAGAATAATCTTTGCGCATTGTCATACCAGACAAAATCACCCAGTGGTTGACAAACCGTCGGTAACCAAGTCTGGCCTGCACTAAAAGGTGTTTTTATTGGCATCGCTGCCAATTCAAAATGATTCACCTCAGGCCCTGAGTGGACCACTTACTGACTACAACATTTCATGAATATTTATATTCCAGTGGATCTACACCAATCAGTGGTCAGCAGTCACGAAGTCCCACTGGTGACTTGGAAAAGCTGCAATATCACAAGGATGAAAAACTACGGAATAAAATCAACCATATTTAGTCTTTTCAATTGGAGAGTCTGGTTTCTGATGGAAAAAACGTTTTACTCATTTTGCACCAAATATTATTTGGCCAACTCTTGATTCATCATCAAATTTAGGATTGCAAGAGGTTATTGATTTTGTTTTTAGATATTGTTGTTAGGGTGTTTGTATTTTGCAAAACCTGAAAACGATTGCAAGCTGTACAAGCGGAGCTAATGAACTTTTGGGGCGCCCAGAAATCCGACAAAGTAAAACCGAAGTTTTTGCCAGAAGAAAATTGACTTTTACACATCTGGTTTTGCGTTAAAAAAATATTAGACCATCCTATTAAGGCCAAATCCTGACAGAGATGAAGTTTCCACTCTTTGGTGTAAAGTAAAAGAAAAAAGGTGGACGAAATGATGGGACTGGGCTTTGGCTAATTTAAAACAGGTTAATGTTGTCGAAAAAGCAATTACAGAACAAGTCCAGACAGGAAGTCGGAATTCAATAGCTGTGATCTTTTGTGTTGGTTCCAGCAGTTTCTGCATTATTGATAACTGCTCATTTTCGCATCAGCCAGGAACCAAATGAAAAATACGGGGGATTGAATTATTTGACAGGTACCGCCATTAAGTCCGTGAACGAAGTCTATGAATAATCCTGATGCATTTGTAGCGGTCCATCCTTGTTGTTATCACTCGGGGGTGATTCGTTCCCCCGTGGGGGGGGGGAGGATATGGAGGGAAGCATGAACGAGTCTTGACCCTGGTTTCACTTGATTGGTCTTATTCTATTCTGGTTTATTCCTCATTCCGGCAAAGTTGTCAGGGAACTGACAAAAGGAAAACGGTGAAATCGAGAAAAAAGAACCCACGCACAATACTGGCGATTCACAATAGTGCGCTTCCAAGAGTTTGCAACGCCCCGCGTTGGCCAATCAAAATGCGCGAAATCTGTCGATCCCGGCAAACGCGCTTGCGAACTCTTGGAGGTGCACTATTGGGTGCGTTCGATTAGCTTCCCTGAATACACCAGTGTTACACACAAGGGAAGCCTCGAAATGAGGCTAATTGAACGCTGCAGTGAACTCGCCAAGGCGTTCTGGGAAAAAGGTCAAGTTCCCGCCACGTTGCATCATGCACGTCCATGCACGAACAGTCCATCCTTGACGCCATTACACTCGGGCAGACTCCAGAGACCCGCTAGCGCTCGCCAGCCGGGGTAGTAGTGGCTGACACCAGGGCAGGCACGAGGATCACGTGATGGCTTAACGAACGCTCTCCTGCAAGTTTGACTTACACGTGTAAGCTAATCGAACGCACCCATAGTGAATCGCCCGTATTGAAATTAAAAGAATGTGTACATTTTACCCATAGGACAATTAACGCTATTGTGTCAGTCTTTTTATACGTACTGTTACGTGCGTATACAGGCTTTCATTTTTGACAAAGTCGTGTGTCGATACTCCATTAATTAAACGTGACAATTATTGCCTAATATTCTCACCTTAACCACTTAAGACGGAAATGTGTCTTATTCCCGGCCGAAAACAGCATAAGACCAGGAGCCACCTATATTTAAGCCCAAACATCTTGTCAGAAGTACTGTTCAAAGTCAGTAAGCATGACGGCGTGGTCCGAATTAAGGTCTCCACGACAAAAGCAAAGCGTTTGTGCTTGTGTACATAGGCCTCGAAAAATCTATGACGTCAGAACCATGACATCATTTAGATATATTATGTTAATGAACTTGGTGTAATTTTACAGATGAAGCGAGATATGGGGCGGGGAGAGCCCCCCGCCTTTGTGTTGGTCATGGTTTGATCGGAATCTCAGGAATTTTTTACAGACTTGGGGGGGGGGGGGTACAGGGATTTTACATGTGGGGGGTACCTCTTCGTCCCATATCTTGCTGGGTATATAATTTTAGGTGGTCTCCAGATCTAGACACATCTTTGCAGAGGGCAAAGGACCTTCTGCCGGAAACCTTCTCCGAGGAAACCAATACACTTCAAATTGGCCTCCGAAATTGTCACGTTATGGCGGCAGTGAGAACCAAGGAAGGGGTGTAACGGGGGGGAGCTATGAGGATTCTATTACATTTAAGAGTGAAGGCAATATATGCCCTCAATGGAGGATGTTATGATGGACAGAGCCATTTTGTTTTCTGCAATTGTCTTTGAACAGCTGCTTGATTGTGACTGGTGCGATCAGTTAAAGGAAAAGTGCACCAGGGAACCTCCTTAATGCCCCCCCCCGAAAAAGACGTGGATCTGGGTCCCCCTGTAGTGAAGGCTTACCCACTTCTATTAGAGAATCCTGGTAAATTCAGGGACACTGTTTGGTGTACGCTGAAAGCTACTACATGTATTCCGCTTTCAGTGAATAAAACAGCGAACAATGAGGGGATCAATCATTTATGCTGAAAACCCAATTACCCCAAAAAGCGGGCAAAAACAATGTTTTTTGTGCCCGTATCCGCAGCTACTGCATTATAAATGACGAAAATTCATGCTATTATCATCTAGGACGCAACAATAGATAGCATTATTCTTTCAGGCCTTGCTCGTGTGAGCTATTTATTTATTGATAAGGGATTGTTGGGCCCAAACTCGTTTCTTTTCATAAAAAACCAACTGCCTTTTTGGCAGGAAGGCGAGCCAGAGAGCAGGCAGTAAATGATTATCTTCATTTGTATGTTTTTCAATTATTAATGAAGCCACTGCATGCATCGGCAAAGAGTCAAGATAATGGCCGCTCACTTTAGGCAGTGTGTGACTCTCAGCTGTACAGCAGTAGCTTGACCTTCCTACATTGCATGTGTTCTAGAGATGGTTGTCTCCATACAGGCTACCTGCAGTTCTCATTCGGCTCATTTTTTTTTAAAGAACAGAACGCTTCATTGAAAAAAGGCCATGTAGAAAATCACAGGGTGATTTTTTTTAGCACTGAAAGGCTGATACACCACGTGACCTGAACCTTTTAAAATATTGTGCGATGATACAGGATGTCATGCTTAGAAACATTTCGACGCCGTTTCATATGATACGCTACCAGTAGCTCCAGTCACGTGATGCATCTGCGCAAGTGTGCTCATGTTAGTGGACAGATTCACGATTGCGCCTTGACGCCCACAGGCACATCGAACGGATGGAGTAGCATTAGAAGCTATGCTTAGTTGGAATCAGATGTTCACGTACGTGTATATGGTACGCTTTGGGAAGTCTTTTCGCAGTTAAACCTATAACTGTTTTGTTGTAGTTACTGCATCACTGGCGATATTTTCGCATTGTCGTAATCCAACAATGGGAGTACCATACACTTTTCTGTTCTCCATTGCCGGTGTGTTCATTGGGAGTGGCATTTTTCAGACAAGTTCAGTATTGACTGGGCAGGTCCCGCAGATAATATCTCATACCTTCGACAAGCTTGATATCAGCTCTCCCCAGCACAGAGTTATCGCATCGTCAGTGCGTGCATCCAAGATGCGGTGTGCCGCCGATTGCGCGGCAGCAGCCGATTGTATACAATTCTGCTACGAGCCGACGACCAGACTTTGCCTGCTTGAAGGCGCCGCTGATACCTCCGAAAACCCAGGGGACGCTGGAACTTGCTATAAGAAGACTTCAAGTGGGTTTACCGTGTTGTATCAGGATCCAGATTGTTTTTTATTCACCAATAAATTTATTATTTCACGTACATGTAATTAAATTGCCAGGCAGGTCATTTTTGACAAACTGCTTGTTTTTGAGTTGTAGGAGAAGTTTATTTTAAAACTGCACTGCAACAGAATCACTGTTTCTTAGTCACTGCTTCTTATCATTTTCAGCGTGTCTGGAGCATTCTGGCTGGCGTCTAGCAGACAGTTTACTGACCTTCAATGAATTAAGGCCAAGCCCGGCCCCTTTGGAATCTGACCATGTGAAAAAAAATTGCGAGTAACCAAAATGACACACACAGGCTTGCCTGAGAAGGTTTCCGTCCCTTTTATTCAGAAAGCTAGCGGGAGAATGTGATTTATGAGTCCTTTGTAATAATAAATATGATTTGGCCATATTTTGGACAATATGCTGCACAGTTGGAAAACATGACACACTGCCACCACGAAGAATCTTACCGAATAATTTAACGTTGAAATCTTTGTAAGATTTCTGATACTTTTCATTTGAATCTGCTCGGAACAAGCCTCCATAGTGCAATTTTCTCTTTTGAAACGAAAGCGATTTCCCCTCCTTTTTATGAATTTTGCATTCGAAAATTCAAATTCGAAAAAAAACATTCAATATTCTTCAATCGATCGAACATTCGGCACAGCACTATTTCCTTTCCGTTCTTTAACTAGTGAAGTTCAATTCTGACCAAAGCCGTCTCCCTTGCTAAGAAAATTGCGTCGCCTGTTAGTTCAGCTGTGATAATTACAAAATGGAGTGCCTGGTCTCCTTATTTGAACACAGAGGAAGGATCCGCAGAGCCTGGGCCCGCGGCAGCTGAATGTGCGACCCCAGTGCCGTTAGGGATGCAGGACGGGACCATCAGCGATGAAAACATTACCGCATCCAGTGGGAAAGACACTGCCAAGAATGCACGACTCAACGGCAGTGACGCATGGCTTCACGGGAAGTGAGTATGAAAGAAAGCATGACATCCAATAGGCCCATCCACATCCCCATACACACTGCACCACAAGGTGCTGGGTGAACGAGAAATGGGTTTGTAAACAACAACAAAGATGCAACAATTACTGTGAAAGAAAAGAACTTTAAAATAGCTTTTTCCCAACAAGCACAATTCCTCATGGACTCAATTTCGAAACAAGCCGTTCTCAAGATGGCCTTTGTCAGCGGCTGCAACTATTCTACGTGAATGTGAGCTGATGGCAGAAAGCGGTAGCCACAGCCAAAAATGCAGCCTCAAAACACCTGTACATGCGACCCTCTAATAACTGGGTGCAGATTTCAGTCTACAATCGAGGTGTGATGGTGAATTCTCTTTCACAGTCCCACTGACATCAGATAATTAAAGAGGCAGAGGGCAAAACGTTTTACCCCAAGCGTCGCCATAATTTACTTTGCAAATTATATGTATTTATATATCTTCGTATTCTTATGCATAATTATTTCAAAATGTCAAAGCCCCTTGCCAACAGTTCCACAAGATATTTTATATTGAACAAATTCTAATAAAAAAATCATGGAGGACTCATAATTTGCCTGTCAGAACAAGGAACAGAGTTTTACACCCTAATCTCCCTTTGACCACGCCTTGCAGAATTCTGCCTCAAAACAGTTTCGGTAGTAATTGTGATTTTTGCCAATCTCTCAACTTGCTATAGCAAGTTCGTTCGCGGAGTGTCATTTCATTACTTTGTTCCTTATCCCCCCATTCATTCGGTCACAATAGCGAAGCCAATCCATGGATCGAGGTGGATCTTGGTGAAAAGACAGTGGTGTCTGGCGTCATCACACAGGGAAATCCCAATGACGATTGGCGGGTGATGATGTACCAGGTGTCATACCAGAAGCAGCACTCATCTGACCGTCTGCACGTGACCGATGGAAACGGAAACATCACGGTAGGCATGCTTACAGTTTGTCACATTCCCCGGTTTCCCACCCAGAAATATGACCTTGAGTGGTAGTCTACCACTCGGTAGGACAGGATATAACAGATTTATCTTCCAAAGTGTAAGTTATGCGCATTTATTTGCACATCGAAGGATCCTTCTTCACTGTTGCAAATAATTTACGAACTTCGTTCTTTTGATTTGTTTCCAATACGTTTAAAAGTCCTTCTAAGCTTGATTCACTTCTTCAGGTCCATAATACCTTATACATGTATCTCTCAACTTTATACAACTTGTCAAGTTTTTTCTGACGATACCGTGGGCGTCCGCTTCAGCCAGGCAGCCTGCCTCGGTATTGGTTGTGGCGTCTCCGGGCCTCTATCACGGTGTTCTGGCCAACGGGGTAATACTGGCTCTCCTTGAGTGTGCCGCTAACCCTTACCCGACTAGCTCCCGTTACTCCGTCTCTCACGGAGGAACCCTATTGTGAATAATTATGGGTGTTCGCCCACATTTAATATCAACACAAAAATCACTCATGAAATTAGGTAAATTATTTTACAATGACATAAATCTGAGTTTTGTATGATATCCTCCGATTGGTTCTATACTTTCTACAATGGTATTTCCAAACATATGACATACCGGTAACCCATATGTCCCAGAACGATAAAATTGTCCAATTATAAAACTTACAGGTCTTGACGATGCTGGTTTCTGGCAAATCTTCAAGCTCTCGAGAATTTCAAGCCGAGCTCTCAGTAGCTCAACCGTTTCTGTGCTATTTAAAGCATTCACTAAGCTCTCATTAGCTGGGAAGTCTAACTCTTAAGTTGTGGCTGGCAAGATTCGCCCTCTCCTCGTATAGGTCTCTAGCTTGCAAGTGACCAGAGAGTCTCCTTAATTTTATCGACGCCAGAACCGGGAAGGAAAAACCCGCGAAAAGTCCCATGACTGGGTAATCTATTGTTTTCTCCACCCTAGTGCCCTTTAAGAAAAGATATTTATCGGCCCAAAATTGTTTAACCAATCGTATGCTGTATTCCTCTGCGTGAAACCCTTGGTAATTCACATAACATTAATAACAGGGCTTGCCAACCCCTGGACGTTCACAGAGACTATAAGTTACTTTCAATACATTCGGCTTATAAAGAGCAATGAAATTACACTTCCAGTACGTTTTGCTTAAAAAGGAATTATACAATCATAAAAACCATACAGACATTATGACAAAACTCAGAAGAGTATATTTCCCAACAATTCACCTTGTGACATAGTTGCGAGAGGTTTGTGGATATCTCGCAGACGTTGTTTCCTGTTTCGTTGCTGCTGGTCCCCGAGAAGCACTTACACGGCTTTGTTACGTAAACGATCAAATGGGCTCTACTGCCTATGTCATAGTCACGAAGGACTGCATTTATTATGTATTTTGGCCCTCCGAATTCGTATTTGTAATCTAATATTTACTGTTGTGGTCCTACTTCCTTGAACTGCCCGGCCCGTTGCACTCTGCAAACCTTCATACCCCTTCAAGCTAGCTACGCTTGTTTGCTCACCAGCTATTCGCTTGCACGGTAGTTTGATATCCTTGCTCAGGATGCAGTGCCAAACCAAAACAAGTAAATATTTGACTCTTGAATTGGTAGATTTCATTTGAGATGGAGTTTCTTCACAGTGTGTAAGTCTTAAATAATACTTTGATTTATGTGGTAAATACTTGGAGGAAACTTTCCACTTTGAGGATATCTGCAGACTTAGGCAATGCACTACGGTTTCACTGTACTGTTATCGCATTTTGCCTATGTGCATGTGTTCTGTACTGGAAATGATCGTCCCCATATGGGGCACCAGTCTTACAATACTGCAGCCCTTACTTTATAATTATTTGGTTTTGTGTCAGGTGTTCATCGGTAACAACGACCGCACAAGCCCGGTCACTAACCTGTTTAATGAGAGTGTGGTGGCCACGACAGTGCGCATTGAGCCGACCAAATGGAATACTTATGCTGATTTGCGATTTGAGCTGCTTGGATGTCGCCTTGATTAATGCGGCTGCATCATGCTTACACATTTCTGATATATGTGGAATTTCACTTGCGGAGAAAAATTGTTTCTACAAAACAAAATTGAGATGACTGTGATTACTAGAGCATATCGTGTTTGATATCTGACAAGCTTCTGACTTTTCCTAAAGGTTGAAATAAATTAATGTCGAAACTACATGTTTATGCGTACACATCTAAATATCTTTGCTGGAAATTATTCGTTTGGACAATACTTTAAGTTGGAATAGATCACCCGTGAGATGTATTGATAGCTAAGCTCCTAACAATCGATGTGTACCCTGAAGTTTTACAGCAATATGATTCCAATGCAGTGCTTAAAGTGAACAGCAGCGGAAGAGTAAGCACCTAATTGTTCATTTGACTCAGATGAGACGTAAGCAAAAACGCTGAGTGAAACTCAGCAAGACTTTGGAACATCAGCGAATCGAAAATTCGGAGAGAGCATCAATCCGTAGAACGTCTAACACGGTGCACGTGACTGTGAAGAGCGGTTACGATTGTGCTCGAGGTCAGTGATGTCACATTGCAAATTCCGTCAGACGATGTTGGATGTTCATTCATTCGCCTACCTCACCCAATGAAAAAAGTATACCTTGTTTGCAATTAAACTGGAATGGCTAAAAATGGATTTTTTTTCTGTAGATCTGTATTATTATTAATCATATATCGGCCATAGCAATCAGAAACGGTCAGTTGATGAGGTATGTCACTAGTGGAGGGTTGTCAACTAGTGACCGATATTTTTGGAAGTTGGAAATAAAAGTAAAATGTTGTAAATACAACGATATTGCTAAAGGAAAGTCAGACTTTGTCCAGTGTGTTTCTTTTGTTGCAATGCTCTTTTTTATACAGCACGCACAGCGTGATCAAAGCCCTGCGAAAGTGGCGATCAGTGTACAAATACCGATGACAACTGAGCAACCTTATGCATATTGCGATGCACGTAAGGACAACTGTGAAGAGATAAATGTGCCCGAAAACCAGTTACATGGGTTTGTAAAATTGTTGTCACTTTCGGAAATGTTTGAAACAGGAGTTTCTACCAAATTAATGATAATCACTAAGCGAGTTTGCTTCTACAGAGAATAATTTTTGTTTTGCGTACAGGGAATCGCAAAATGGTTGGCAAACCGTCAAAATTGAACTTGGCCGAAGCTAGCTTACTTACGGTATCCTAGAAGGACCACGTCTATTTTAACTTTTCCGGGTGAGCTTTCATCGTGGTGAGTTATGATCTGCCTGTACAAAATGTGTTTTTTTTATTAGCGTATATCAATTCAAAACGGTTCAGTCGAGCCCCTGACTGCACTGAACAGGGGCGTTTGGAAGACAATTTCTGGGGTGGGGGATGCTGGAGTCAATTTACCGACTTGTAACTTGTTCCAGGGGACCACTACTTCGATATGTCATCGGAAATTGTATCCCCTCATTGCAGTCGTCAAGATCTACCCGTTCCTGGGAGCAGACAATTATGGTAAAATTCGGTTCGTGGTTTGGGTGCAGCAAAGGGTATATGCAGGCGGAATGTCAATTTACATGTTAGTGAATCTATTAAACAATTGAGCAGCGACCGCTGAGGCGAGACCAACCATTCATTTTGACAGAGAAAAAAACGGCAATAAGTCCAGGAGGGAAGCTGGCAAGTAATAACTGTTCTTTTGTGTCTCTTCCTGCATCTACTGTTATAATAAAAAAGATAAGAGCTCATGCCTTAACCTTGCGCAGATCAGAATGGCTACTATGATGATCCCCTCTTTTGTAATTACGTAACTAAAAAAAAATTTCGGCCATATGATATGACAGCGTCCGAGCATTAATGAAGGAACAGAGTGGTGAATTGCAATGGATAAAACATTTTACTGGTGCCGCCAATCACCGTCATTGACTTAATGACTTCCATATATCTGTGTTTAGAATGTTACACGTTCTGCTTTTCAACAGCCAAGCCACAAATGGACTTTTTTTTACCGCCATCGTCGTCCTGAGTGGTTTTTCGAGACTCAAGGCGGCACTGTGTACAAGAAATCCACTCAATCTATTTATAAATGTAGCCGAATATCGTGCTGGGGAAGCGATGTGTAGACGAGTTTTTATAGTGTATGCGTTGCCAAAAGAACGATATTGCTCTCCCACTGAGGCATGATAATATTTGTACATATATTCGGCCTTCGGTATAACTTCAAATTGTATCATTTTTATCTTCGATGCAAATTCGTGCCACACAGACAACCAAAGTACTTATATAATGTGATCGAAATTAGAAATTCCATCCTTCTGAATGAAGTGGCGTTTCTAAAATAAAGAGTTGTCATTATGATGTCTATCTCTAGATTCTGATCTCATGGCAAACAATAGTTAGCACTAATGTGTGAATATACAATGAATTATTGAGAGATTAATGGGATAAACCTCGATACGCTTCATTAACCTGTCTTTTCTACAAGGAGTACGTTCCAGAAAGGAGTTGGTCGATGGATGCTTTCTTGGTGTATATTCGCGTAGTATACTGCATCGTTTGAAATTAATTAGCATTTCGCTTCACCGATACTTCAGAGTTATTTCGAAATGGCTAGACCACGATATCCTGCCCTAACGACTTTCGGTTTGCATTGTGGTTGAATTATAACAGCACAGCACAAACCTACAACCCGCCAAAAAGAACCGACCACATCTAATTGCCGCGCTTGCCATTGCCCCGCTTATGTTGTAGACCTCAACCAATTAATCAGACATGAATATTCACTCCCTAGTTGCGAGCTCAATATTTGTGCTGATTGGCTGCTGCTGACGTCAGCCTGTTTGGATACACGCACACGGGGTTAGGTTGGTCCGTGGTTTTAGCGTCAATGATAAAATAAGAGCAGAACATTCTGGGTCAGAATTCAGTCTCCACATCTGAGAACATGGACGGAGCTGCACCTTTGATTGTGATAGCGACAACACTAACATGTAAGCCTCTGTTTTTTCAATGTCCAAATCTAATTCATGCATTGAATCTTTAGACAACGGTTAGCTGGAGCAATCACTGGAGATTTTTGTCTTGCATATCTACCTTTTCTATTAATTGAAGGGTTGGGACTAGGAAACGTTTCATAAAATTATACCGTTTTCGAGCCTGAATTTATAATTAACTTCATCCCCCAAAAAGTCCAGCTACATTCAGACTTGACCAATGTTTGTACTCCTGACTCAACTAGTCCAGTTAAATATAAGGAGTAAAGCAAATTGATGTTTAATCTTTAGGAATAGCAAGGGACGAGCCAATGTAATTTCTAGTATAAGAACATGATAAGACTCAGAATATTTCTGGTGTTTGAAGAATGATAGCAGACAAGACTCGGGAAGTCAAATTCAAAAGGCTCACGTTTAGATGAACCAATAATAAAGTCATTACGATGGTATCGATCATAGTAAGGCAAAGTTCCGAAAACACGCAAAAATACAAATTTTTGTGAAATCCACGCGCAGATGTTTAGACTGACATCTGTGAAATTTTTTCAATCCTTTAAAAGCACTTCATATTCAGTCTGCACTGTCTGGATAGTGCTTTATGGCCTGAATCACAAATACTATCGCCGTGCGAAGACTGTAAATCATGTATTTTGACAGCAGAAACATTGTTTGTGTGGTTTAACTGCGCTGTGCGGCTAATTATGTTCTGTGCAGTTTGAATTCCCCATGGATTTGTGGCAGGGTTGTTTTCTGATCACACTGTATAAACAAGCCTGGCAGAAGGTAACACTGCGTCAGTTGCCGAATCATTGAAACATTTCTTATTTATGCAATTAATTTTTCTTCATACATGTAAATTGAACTTACTGAAATATCCCCCAATACAAGTAAAATTAATGATTTTTATCATTGCTTGATCGTAAAGACTAACTTAATGAGGCACCAAAAACAAGTGTGGATATGACAGGGATATATGAAGTCTGTCACATCTTCAAATTGCAGAAAATCTGAAGCAGACTATTTCCCAATTCCCCCAAAGACTGGAAATTGTTTACAGTATTTCAAAAGTCGCTCAATTGAGCCCTACAATGTCACACGGTAGTCATTGCTATTAATGACCATTATTTGTCTTTGATTCCAAGTGTTCTTGAGTGGTGTGGAGGGCACAGCGAGGACTTGTTACTTCGGTCCCCCACCGAAACCTGATCCTGATAACCCGGATCACTGGATGAAGCAAGTCATGCGAGAGATACGAGAGCGTTGCCCGGGAAAGAGGGGACGTAGCCCAGCTGGTGAGTTATCCTTACTTCCGATAACTCGAAAAGTGTCTTTTTTATGACAAGAAATTTAACGACCCAGTGGGTTGGGTTAGAAACACCGATGAACATTTCCGTGTTTAATCGGTATTCCTTTGTTCTTACTTTGCAGACTATATCTTGTGAGCAAAATTCACTTGTAGGTACCTCTTTGTAAAAACGTCTTCAATGTTTTGACATGTCAAGGGACATGGTTTTAAATAATCGGTTGAAAAGAGCCATATTGGCCGGGAGTGTTCATTTTGTTGTTGCCAATGAAATCTTAGGTAAAGTATCACCCCCGGATATAAATAGATCATGACAAAACATGTCAATGGGTCAGAACGAATTCAAACGCCCTAGTGGACCCTGTGTTGAGTTGTACATGCATGCAGGCTGTTAATGGTGACGGTCGCAATGAAAACATACACAGCCGGAAATACCCGAAAATCAACGATGCTATCCGAATTAAGGTAAGAGATTTCATACAGCAACAGCACGTAGCGCAAATGTGCTGATCGACCGATTGCCCTCAACAAAAGGCTTTTGATCTACCCTCGCCTACCCAACGCATACACATCTCTCGCTCAGCACCTGTTACTGCCATATTAGATAATTAGCAATTAAACATTAACAATTGAAAATCGACTTAAACCATTAAGAAACTAAACAGGAATAATAAAACATCAATCTCAATTTCAGAAATTACACGTTTAATGTATAAGTACAAAATATAGATTAAACACCAAAATTGAAACAGGAAAACAGCAATTAACATGCAGCAACACCGTAAGAGCAAACCAGACACAACAGGTGGACCTGGACAAACTTAGAAACAAAAGCCGACAAACAACTAAGAAACAAGAACAAATACAAGCATCTAACAAAGGAAAATAAAACCATCATATGGCACGCAATTGTGGGGAAAAAAATACACACACATTATTACATGCAAAAACAAAGTCAATACAGACAGTGTGCCAACCACATCAAAATGACAAATTCAACTACTTAATTAATGTTCATAACACAGCTATTACTAGTTAATTGAAACTTAACTAATCAAACATAGAAGCAAGGCAAGGTGCAAAACTTGTAATGTTCACAACAACATCCAATAAACATCAAACATCATCAAACAACTGTCGTAAAGCAACGGATCCCCGGGAAAGAATCTCTTCCCGAAGAGTTTAAATCCGATTCTCCGTTTCCCATATGCAGCAAGGTATGAGACGGAGAGAACACCCCCTGCTTTGTGTTGGTCATTGTCTCGCAGGAATCTGGGGAAGTCCTTTCTGACATTTTGGGGGGGGGGTGTGTTAAGTAACAATAATCTGGAATGTGTATAGGGATTGGACAAGTGGGGGGGTACCCCTCGGTCTCATTTCTTCTTGGGTATACGTTTTCCCAACCAAGCAACTGCGTGCTGGTTTCTCGTTTGCCCACAGAGCAAGGATACACTGAGCCAGAACCCACAAGAGTCCATTGTTCTCCTCGGCGGTTAGGAATGGAGGACGGGACTATTTTGGACACAAAAATCACGGCATCGAGTTACCACGGAGACCACTATCCATGGGCTGCACGCCTCAACGGCCCTGGCACATGGTCACCTGTGAGGTACGTATCACCATTGATATATGCGTCACACGTGTCTTCTGTTGTGCTATAGGAATCTCAGGAATTCGTTTTAGATCTTATGGGGTGGCGCATACCAAGTGGCGTAACTACGGGGGGGGGGGGGCACGGGGAGAAAATGACCCATCAAATGGCTGTGCTCCCCCAGGATATTAAGCCCTAGTTATGCCTCCGAGCATTGGAATGATTGGGGTGCATGCTGGTTCCTGATTTGAAAAGTGGGGGAATAGAGTTAGACAGAGCCGTGTAGGGTACGTATGAGACTCGCGCTGGACCAAGAGAGGGCGCGATTTCCCTATTAACGCATGAACAGGCTCTCCGAATGGCACTTCGCTGGTTCACAAACGATTCGGAAATACACGAGTTACTGGCGTGTCCGTACTTGCAAAAGCCACATTCCCGACCACAGTGTTTCTCTGCAACCGACGAGGGAGTGCTCAAAGCGAACACCGAGGGGATCAGTGTTTGAGCTGGCTGAGGGAGTGACCAGGAACAACCCGGCCACTCTTAAACCTGATCAAACAAATCAGATTCCTTCTTCCGTTCGTTTTAAAAATTTGCGAAAAGACACTCTTCGTAGTTTTCCCCTAAACCTTTAAAGATAGGAACATATGTAAAAAAATACAACAACACCTTGGTGTATATTACTCTGATGTCATCATGACATCATCAGGTGTCTAAGCAATTCCATCTTCCAAGAGCCGGATTATTTATTTAGTTTATCTCAGAGCCGGGGGGCGGATTTCGTCCCCTTAAGAACTCGGCTGTAGTACGCTTGAATTTTATTAAACTCAGCATGCATGTAAGTAAAGCACTCCTCAGCTTGAAAAAGAAAGTTGGAACTCAATTGGACATACAATAATGGTTTTGGTGTTACGGTAATATGAGTTCAAGGCTGCAATGCGCTTACCAGCCAGTGTGCTTTGAACACTGCAGTGAAAACAGTACACACCTCAGGCTGACCCATCTGGGAAAAATGGGCTCGGTGCAACGATGGCGTGTTTGATTTTCACCAAACTAGGTTTCAAAATGACTACAAAGATTTATTTAAAATGAACTAAGGGATCAACTCCTGAAAAAAAGCACTACAGAGATATGGAAAAAAATCGAGGGGCCGGGGGCGAAATCCATTATATTAATATAGACGGCGCCTCAATATTTTGTAATCAGAGCGAGCGAAATCAGACATAGCCTGTTGCTATGCTGTTGTCAAGTGCAAATCTTGCCCACACGCACTTTGGTAATGAGCGCTGTGTCTACAAACAACAGAGAGACCCAACACTTTTACTGGGTCGTTGACATAGATAAACCACAGGCTCTACCTTGCCCAGGCGCCGTTAGTGAAAATAATCCCATTGAGATACACGGCGAAGATGTTTATAAACGATTGAATGGCACTTGGCCTGACACCGCCTGAAGTTTTTCTTCCCTAATCAAGGTACGCCAACCCAGGTCTTTTCAGTATGAAAATAGGTAGGAATAGAAAGGAAGTGATTGCATGTGGCCGGAATTTGGTTTTAAGAAATTGGCAAAACGGTGTCAGCAGAAGACACCATTCCCTCTTCGTTGAGCTTTAAGATCCTCATTTTTAGGCCATTTACGTAAAATCACCTCATCCTTGGTTCCGGTGAAGACCAGAAGTACCTTATTATTTCAAATTAAGAAATAGAAAAGAATTTGCCTTCATGGCTGTCAGTTTACGGCGAGACTGTATTGAGTAAGCCGGGAAACTTTTGCGCCCTCCAGCGTCCGCTTAAAATTCCAAAATATATTTTCCGTTGATGTCTGCGTTAAAGTTTCACGTTTCATGCAGTCCCTTGAAAATTGGCGAAGTAGCAAAGTGTGGCAGTAAACATACTGGTACTTTTGTCCAATTCTAAGCAGGCGGACATATTAACAGTTCAGAGTATTATTACCGTCCATTGTTTTGAGCAAGGACCGGTATGTCTGCTGCCACCAAGCGTCTCAAAGTCTCCCATTAAAAGACTTTTAATGTTTCAAAAATTAATCCTGAAAAATTCATCTTGCTGGATGTGATCTTGAATTGCGTTTGGATGTGGATTATAAAATCTATCTTATAAAAATCAGTCGACCCGCCGATAATGAACAGAGATAAATCACTAACAACAGAGGTCCGTCAGAATCTGCAGGCCCGTTTTATGTTAGCCTTTGATCAAGGCGCCCTCTTGAGCGACTTGATCAAAGGCTAGTTTTGTGCATAATTTTGGGTTTCTGTAATAGCTCCACTGTGGGGCGCGCGTTCGCGCATTCAAAACTTTGGACTGCTGCCAAAATTTACGCATTTAGGGCTTTGACCCACGACTTTGCAGGAATTTTTTTTTAACCAGTCGAGTCGAAGCCATCAGTGTTATTTTCTGCACCCGCTACGTACCTGTGATTCTGCTCGTGGATCGGTGTCATTTAGTGGTTCTTTTTAGCTCTTTTTTACTCTATGTGCACAGGGCTTTCGGTTCCTGGATCGAGGTGGACCTTGGTGAAACTACAGCAGTGTCTGGCATCATCACGCAGGGAAGTTCGTACGGCAATGTTGTGAAGAAGTACAAGGTGGCGTATTGCCAGACGCACAACTCTCCTGACCGTTTGCACGTGACTGACGCAGATGGAAACGTCAAAGTATGAGATACAACTTTGCTAGCGGCTCGAGAATATCTTGGCCCCTTTGCCATCTGTTTCGTTTTGACCCACCTGACCTTTCTGTTGCCCCACCCAAAGCAGCCTGATTGCTCGGGTTTAACGCCAAGAACTCGCTGACACCCCTTTCGCTCATTTTGTAGAAATAGGGTCTGCACGAAGAGTCAACGGTAGGATTGGATAGGGGAGGGTACATGTACATGTAGGCCATGTTGAGACTCCGTACTATCAAATGAGGTACTTCGATGGAAATCCTACTGTTAGATTTTTTTCATTTCACTCTTACGATGCCCGAAATACCATTTGGCTCCATTTCATTTTCAGGTGGCGTTTCTACACATACAATCTGTATACCTTAGAACTATTGGGTTACATTTATGGAAGACGAACGCAGTTTGTGAAGTCCCTGTTTAGTACTAATGTTGTATAGGAGACACCTGCATATTTATGGTGGCTCTGGGGGGACTGTCGTCAATACTAAAATCGACATTCGCGTGTACAAATCACGAATCTCACTCGACCTTTCCTCAGTATGCGGTGCCTGTCTAACAGTATACGACAAACTTACATGTTCACTTCGCTTTGGTTCGTTTCAGGTGTTCATCGGTAACACCGACAATTCCACCCCGGTCAAGAACCTGTTTGATGAGAGTGTGGTGGCCACAGCAGTGCGCATTGAGCCGACTGAGTGGAATCCTTGGGTAAATCTGCGGTTGGAGTTGCTTGGATGTCACCTTGGTTAATTAATCTAGATGTTCAATATCAGTGCATACACAGTTTCTGATATATGTATTCGTTGAATAAAATTACTGTTAAAAGTTAAGATAACTGAGATGGTATGGAGAAATTGATGAAGAAAACTGACGGGTGTGCGAGTCCTCCCGAAAGTAATAAATCAATATAACCGCGTGTGCCAGGCAAAAGGGCGTAAGGCACACGACAATAATAGTTTCAATATCAATTTCCAATTCAAATCCCACCTTGAATAACTAATAAATAATGAGTATTTGGATGATTTAAAAAATGAAGATTAAGAAAGTCTATATTTTGGAAACAATTGCAGTAGCCTTCGGATGTTTCAGACTGGTCTGGTCACTTTGTGTGCAACTCAGCAATGACTGTATACGCGCAATGTTCTTTGCTCAGAGTAAAACGCATAGAAATCTGATAAACAAACCAAATGTGTGCTTCAAAAGGTAGGTTTAATATGGTACGAATTCTGTGTGTGTTGACTTGTTCACAGCTTGTCATTCACGCGCTAAAATAACACAATCCCAGCTGTAGTGAGGTTGATCATACGCTGTTTTGATGTCAAGTACTAATTTATGTATGTGGGCGACAGGGTGGATGGAGAATGGAGCCCTGACACCCACTGTGGAAATGTGAAGGAGGCACGGATGGTTTGTAGCCACATGACCTTGTGGCCCTTTTAATCTTTTGGTTTCATCGCAACAGTACCTCGTCAGATCTGATACTTTAAATCGTTGCATAATGACGTTTCTGCTGCCTTTGCCAGAGAAATAAAAAACAATAAAGGTTGTTTTAATATTACTTTGGATTAAGGTTGAGGGTTTGCGGATACGCCATGTGGAAAATATCTCTCTTGAGCATGTGTTGTTCTGAATCAATCCTGTGGATTAACATTTTCAACTGCGCTTGTAAGATTTTTACCTTCTCAATAAATGTGCGTTTCCTCATACTATTTGATGTAAAAATAAAAATTACGTAATTAATCTCGGACCCAATCCACAACGAGGGGATTAGAAGGGAAAGGGAAATGAAAGCACATAATCCAAGACCCATGCTGAATGTGATATCAGTGCAAAATTAAAAAAATAAACAAACAATCAAACAAATACTACAAACAAACGCAGAGAGGGTAAACAGCATGGCTGTCAGCGCTCCTGGCCAACCCGGATCCCTTTTTCAGTCATATCCAGTCCAGACAGTTTCAGGAAGCCTTTGGCCCTGCCTATCAACACCTCCCCCACACTGTAAGATCAGGCTACAAATCCCCGCCCAGTCTTTGGCAGACGTTGCCGTCAGTGCCGCGCACGATTGGGTTAGGTGTACTCTCTGGTGTAACGAAATATAAATGGAAAATAGACTTCAAGGTTTAGAGGGGAAAAAATGTGCATTAACGGTGTCTGGAACCATTGTCTTTTTAGGTCCAAAAATCGTCGTAAAAATCATTGCAAGGTCGAATATCAGCAGGTAATAGTCGTGTATGCTACGTACTTACTGCAAGAAAAATGATCGTGACTCTTTGCGTATTTGCAAGGGAAAAAAGAAATTAAAGCTGTTATTGCATTAATTACTTCAAAAGGCGTCACCCACGAGACATTTGGGGATGGAACTTCAGAAATACTGCTCCTCTGTATTGTCAGATCATCACGTGCTTCTTTGGGTGTGAGATTTTTTCTTATACTTTTGGTGTTTTGGATCAATTGCTCCGCGGCTTCCTTACAATTTTGAACACGTGAATTTGCCAGTCGGTAGCCTATTTGGAGATTTCAGTAAGCTCTCTGTTTGCTGTCGTGATTTGTTTACGGCGCCTCATATACCAGGCAAGATATGGGATGGAGGGTTACCCCCTTACCTGTCCAATCCCGATACACACACTCTAGACTATTGTTACCTAACACATGCACCCCAGAAGTCTGTAAAGGATTCCTGAGATTCCGATCAAACATTGATCAACACAAAGTGCCATATCTTGCTTCAAATGGCGCCTCAAGTGGATTCTTTTGTATTCAGCATACTTTTTGGCCTTCCACTCTTGACCGGTTCAACTAATTGATGAGGAACTAATGGGAAGAAACCGCCAGCCTTCCTTTCATTGGAAAACAAGTTAAAATTCTATCAAGGTGACGCAGCAGAAAACAGGTGTTCAATGGCAACTTCCTTGATGTACAGTCGCGCATGTGCAGGTACAACATTGACAAGGACGCATCTTCACTGACATTTCCATACGAAGGACGGTATGAAACCGAGAGAACCTCCCCTTGTGTTGGTCATTGTTTTACAAGAATCTGAGGAATTCTTTTCAGATATTTAGGGGAGTGTGTTAGGTAACAAAAGTCTAAAGTGTATAGCGATTGGACACGTTGTGGGTGGTACCCCTTGGTCTTATTTCTTGTTGGATATAGATATTTCGCGTTGGCTGGAGCGTTTGGCGTCATTATCCAGTTGTTGGAGGTGGGATCAGATTGCCTTGCGTACGCGGCAGTGTTGCGCCCCACCCTTATTAAAAAAACTGCATTAGGAAACAATGAAACAGACTGCACAACCGGCACGCCTCCACAAAGAAGTGATAAAATCTGATTGGGTGCTTACTCGATGATGCCCCCCCCCGCATAGGTTCCGCACTTCAGCCAATCAGACATAGACATTTGGACTCTAGTCTCTAGTTCAACTTAATTTCCCATCTGCTTATTGGCTGCCAATGACATGAGCTTGTTCGGCTGCGCAAGCGGATGACGGTTCGGTTTGAGGGTACGTGATAAAAACGAGCAGCCTACCCGGTTCTTGCTTAAAATTTGGTCTCTCGTCCTGAGAAAATGGACGGAGCTGCACCTATGATTGTGATTGTGACCACACTGACAGGTAAGCCAGTTTTCTTGAATGACCAATTTTAGTGAACTATCATTCCATTCTGCAGTCAATATATCTTTAGACGACAGATGGCTAAGATTAATCATTTTGTTGACAGTAGTTTAATTTTTTTCGAATTCTTGGAGTAACAATTAAAAGAAACATTGTCCAACATTTTTCTGGACTCTGCGTATCCCAGTAAATTTACCTTGACAATATCTGTCACTTAACGTTAGTGTTCGTGCGTACGGCAGATTGTCTTGTTCTCATCTGATGGCCTCCCAATTCATTTCCAAAAAAGAGGGAGGTACGTCTTTAGATCTTTTTTAATTCACAGCTGACTGGACCGCGGAAGCCAAATTCCATCAGTTCTCACGATTAGATAAAAACCAATTATAAAGAAGTAAAACACACATTTTTGTGTATTCTGTGGAGATTTTTATACTCGAAGTTGTTACATTTTTGGTACGCGCCTCTATTTGTATGCCTTGGAGCCTGAAATACGCGTGGTTTCACAGTGCAAAGACTAAAAATGACAGCATATTTGACGCAAGTACACCCAGACAGCCAATACAACTATCCAACGCTAACACGCGACAGTTTACAGAGAGTAGGACTTGTTCAGATCAAAATACATGAGTTTTTGTCCTCAAATGAAATGAACCTCAAGGCGATAAATATGGCCAGGAGATATAATAACAAATTGATTTTGAAGAAAAATGAAGAAAAAGTGCTCTTTGGGATTTTAACTAAAAATCCACAATACTAATCCTTGTCTTTACCCACTTATACCAGGCAAGATATGGGACGGNCCTGAAATTCCGATCAAACAATGACCAATACAAGGGCGGGGGGGGGTTCCCTCCGTCCCATGTCTTGCTTCAAATGTACCCAAGCTCAAGCCAAGCTCAAGGCAGCTCGACTGATCTTTGTTTCTTGTCCGTTTTGCTTGTGACCCCACAATGACTTTGATGTTGTTACGTAACTCCGGCAAGTAATATATTTCGGCTCGTTTCCGAACAGGACCTTTACTCGGTCTAAGCCTAGCTTGTTAACAGCGATCGCTAGTCAGATCTGGTGCACGCAGAAAACATCAGGATATTAATGATCATTATTTTGTCTTTGATTTCAAGTGTTATCGAGTGGTGTGGAGAGCACAGCGAGGACGTGTTACTTTGGTCCACCACCAAAACCTGATCCTGATAACCCAGAGCACTGGATGGAGCAAGTCATGCGAGAGATACGAGAGCGTTGCCCGGGAAAGAGGGGACGTAGCCCAGCTGGTGAGTACCCTAAAAACAAATACAAATGTTGAAGGAGCTGAAAAGGATTTGTGGTTTTCAACTAAAAACATTAATCCTTTTGACTGTAGAGTTTAAATAGGAAATTAATCAAACAATTTTCGATGTTCCCTTTTTAGGGAGATTGCTCCTTCTTAAATTAATTAAGGCTTGTGATAAGCCTAGATGGCGTAAAACCTGAAATAACAAAATGTACTACCCTGGTTACGGCATTTCTCCGCTTGTCAGCGAGTTTGGAAACTGTAGTAATGTCATTGCTCCCTATCCTCCTTAAGTCCGTGTAAGTGCGCATGTCGGGCTTAAAGTGCGCATGTCGGGCTTAAAGTGCGCATGTCGGGCTTAAAGTACGCATGTCGGGCTTAAAGTACGCATGTCGGGCTTAAAGTGCGCATGTCGGGCTTAAAGTGCGCATGTCGGGCTTAAAGTGCGCATGCTGGGCTTAAAGTGCCGGGATTAGAAGACGGATTTCAGGTTATGGACTACTTTTGCGGACGGTACGTACTTTTATTAACAGAGCAAATATTCGGTAATTTATCGAAAACGCGTTCAAACATCTGTACGGACAAACTGTGGGACAGAAACAAATGTTTCTGGTGATTTTTGCTTTCGGAAAAAAACGTGAGAAACAAACTGTGCTGTTGATCTGAGACTTAATCATTTTTTCAAAATGAATGAAAAAATGATTGTTTGGTCTATATGTTTTCATTAAATATAAAGGAATGTAGGGTTCTATTTTCAAATGTTTGATTGACGGTTTTATGGATTCAGTGAACGATCCGATGTTAGTGTGGTACTGTATGCACTAGATGATGACTCTGTGATTGGATACAACACAGTCAACCCCTCACTGGTTTATGGTGATGTAATAAGAGGCCATCTAGTAAGGAGGTCCGCTTAAATTATTAGTTTAAGGACGCCAAGGCAAAGGAAGACGGGCAGGAAGAGTCCAAATGTAACTGTCTCAAAAGACACAGAGTTTTATTTACATGTCAACTTTGGGGGTTCAAATATCCAGGTATGGTTACAACTAATTACAATTCAAATCCTTCATTCCTAAAATTCCTCAAATTCCCAAAAAAATCCTCAAATTCCTCGAATTCCCCGAATGTCATGCCGGTGTGCGACCGTGGACTTGGCCTTCCAGACAGCACCTAATAATGAACAGTGTGTGGAGTAAAGATCGAGACCCTAGGGTAAATCATACGAGTCGCCACACAAACAAACAGCTGAAGTACAATGTAGAGTGAACATGACAATATCACATGTACGCTTCACATGAAACTTTTACTATCAAGACTGTGAATTTTCACTCCAAAATCACTCATTCCACGTTCTGCTATATGACCCTAATAATCATCAAGTCGGACCACACACTATGGAATCATAGATTGCGAAGGTGAAGAGACTATAAATCAGCTATTACAGTTTATGGCAGTGTTTTCAGATGTCTTCCCCACCTACCCCAAAAATAAAATGAAAGTTTAGACGGAGGAAAGAGAGAAAGGAGACTTATGTATCCCTCAGAAGAGAAGTGAATAACAAATGTTATGCCCCTTCAACGACCTGCAGTTTTCACAGCCCAACGCCCTCATTCATGTTTAGCCTAGTATTTGTGTGTTACCATAGTACTGTCATGTAGCCGTTGAGGGGTATGGTTTGGTTGGCAGTTTCCCCTCAGCTTCAGCGGGGGGGGGTGGGAACTAGTTTGATATCTCTTATTTCAAAATGAGGAATCAAAATATTTTATGGAAAGGTGATAAATATGGCAGCAGTCATTTCTTTCAATTGTACTGGGACAGAATTTTTGATCCTGCATTTTCTGTACACCTTCTGAGGCGAAGCCGCTGGGAAATAAATCTAACATGAACGACATCTTTGAAGAAGTTTGAGTTTATCACAAAGCAGTATTAAACTATGGCTCCTTTTTCTAATTAAAGTACGCCAAAACAGACACCGCTTGTTGCTATGCCGTTGTTATGGAAACCCTTTGGAAACAACTGACACTAAACATACGCGACCAGGAAAGGAAATGTATCCACAGAGAGTTTAAATAGAACTAGAGGTGGCACAGGGAAGGTAAAATTGTCATGGGTAATCCCAGAAATTAGGGGTCCAAAAGTGTTACATTTTCGTGTCCCTGTTACATCTGACCTTTGTTATTTGACATGGAAATATCACCGGAATTGATTCAAGACTATTGCTATTTGTTTGGCAGGTGATTTGCATTAATCCATCACTCTTGGAAATGAACTTACAAAATCATATGTCGGATGTGACAGGGACACACCAAAATGGACCCCTAATTTCTGGAATCAGTCTTATAAAAGAAAAAACAACTTGGAACCTCGCAGACGCCAATGCGTACGTATGGAACGCACACAAACATTGACACAGTGGGTCGTGACTCTCATCTAAAAAAATCTCCATACGCGAGGAAGACTGAGGACTGGACTGCGTCAGTGCGTACGTGCATGCGCGTAATTGAACAATACGTGGCACTGTGTTAGCGTCAACTGTGATCTCTATGGATGTACAACCGCAGAAACTCTCGGAAGTACCTGTCACGTATGTTTCGCTCCCATTCGACGTGTGGAAACGACTTCGACTGTGCGCAGCGGTTAATTGACCAGGCCCTGGTGAACCTTACGATATTGTCCTTGGCAAAAGTTTCCAGTCCTCTCTTGAGCCTTCTCGCCTGAAAGACTTTGTTTGCACAAAATTAACAAACGATCACGTTGAAACTCTTGTGCTCTAGAAGACTTAGGCCGAGTGAAACACCCCAGAATCGCGAAACGAAATGCTCCAAAAATATGAACTTTAGCCTCGAAAAGGCTGCTATTAAAATGAAAACTATTTCCGTTTTCAGTCGATTTCTTGGTCTGATCTTTTTCTCAGCCGAATTTCTCAATTTTAGGAGTATTCCCAGAACCACGAGACACTGCATACGGCAGGCCAGAATCTCAACTAAACATTACAATGAGTTTTATCCAGCCAGATTTCTTGCAGAGCTTTCATGAGTTATTTTAGACACCATCTCCGCTGAGCAATCGGCGTGTTTCGCAATGTACAAACCGATCCAGCCACGTACCGTGCACGGTTTACATGTGTACACTGCTGCCTGTTTATGTAGCACGCGTTCCAACTTACATGTACACCCACACGCACATGTGCGTGTGCATGTACATGGAAATTATGCGTCAGATCGTGGAAGGTGCACATGTTCATGTGGGCACTCATTTGATGTCCACTGAACATCCCGCGGATTTTGGAGTTTACGTACCCAGCACCAGGAATTTGGTATTTGAATGTTTTTCACCTTACACTGTTACAACAAGAGCAATATAGACCACTCGCATTTTGCCTACGACTTGTATGGGGGGCTACATCTTGCGTTCAAAGTGGTTATTTGTTTCATTGGTTTTAAATAGGATTGTACTTTCTTTCAGTGTTTTGTAGTCGGTTTATTGATTGGGTGTTCTGATAGCTGCAGGGATTTTTAGCACCTTATATGAATTATACTCTTTCTTTTGTACCAACCATAGTTTTAGCAGCCACTAAAACACGACCGCGACGCCAAAAGAGCATACCCTATTCGCTTCGTAAGTGTGACGTCACTTCAGGTTAAACAACCCCCACTGCACGTACACTGCGCATAGAGTTACATGCATTGATCGCCTTTCACTTCCGGCGATATCGTACCCAGGTCTCCATGTTCATGCACGTGTGTTTTCGCTGCACGTGCTAAAGTAAAAACGAGATTGTACAACGTTGCAAAGATTTACCTACTTGCAGTCGATGCATTCCAGATTCCGTTTAGTTGACACCGCGCAGTTGTTGTCAGCAAAGGTTAGATAAAAGATTAGTATCTTTCGTAATTGAAGTAGAAAATTGCTTGAAGTCTACTACTTATATGTTTTAATCTGTTTTTTATTTCGGTTTTTACCGACTGGCTACCATAAAATTTCAAATCGTAAATATTCATCTGCCTTATTGCATTGTTCTTCATGTATTTTATATTTTCGGAAGTGATGGGTCAATGTTTGGCAGGATATTTTTCTTTTAGGTCATTATTTTTCTGTAGGTCAGTTTCTATAAATTGATATACATGTAATAATAAATATTTTCCAAAGCCCTTTTCCGAGTTGGATTTTTAAAGAAGTAACTGAACGAAAAACGATATCAATTTCTAAAATCTTTGCACGTTAATTTTTCTATCCAAGGGTTCCAGGAAGCGCGCCACCAGGGGTCAACTCTCAGGCCTTGTGCTGATCGAGTTAAAATAATTATAAATGGTGCGCTTGGTCTCCCGGTTTACTCACAGAGGAAGGACCCACAGAGCCAGGACACACGACAGTCGAGTGTGCAACCCCGAGGCCGTTAGGGATAGAAAATGGGACCATCCCCGATTCAAAGATGTCAGCGTCGAGTAGCTGGCATGACGGATGCTGCCCTGCTTGGGCTGCGCGCCTCAACAACAAAACGAGATGGGCATCCGCAAGGTAAGTATCCAAAGGAGATAACCACCCTTCAGGCCTCACCTGCATCCCCATTCGATTCGATTTGCCCGACCCCACTGAAAGAAGACAATTCATTTTGAAGAGCTAGGCTAGGCAGGCGCAGTTCTAGGGGAGCTTAGCCCCCAAACCTTTTTGCAGCCGAGCCCCCCGAGGTTGGGATATACATACAGTTGTTATTGCTCAGTGCTTTTTAGTTTACACTTCTTTATCGCCCTTTTTTTGTCATATAATTTCCAACCTGTCAGCCAGATCTTGTACTTATTATTAATCGTTACTTTTTGGTTGACAATTCTATTTATTTTTGAATAAATGCATGTGAACTACACTTTGTTTTCAAATTGTTCTTTTACAAGAATGTGGAATCATGTAGTCAACTAAAAAAACCGGAAGAAATCAGTCATACGTCAAATGGTATTTCAGATCTGCAGTTGGGACACCCCCCAAAAAAACACCTAAGAAAACAAAATATTATTTACAGGGCGCAGAGGACATCCCCTTATGAAAATAAAACCATTTAGAACTAAATCTATGTTCAGAAATTGATAATAACAGGATTGTAAGACCTGTGTCCACAAAATCCACACGTCTGGCCGCGATGGGGGGTGGGGGGATTTCCGACAGGCAGGGATAATTAAAGAGTGACGTTCAGGCACCCCCCCCGGCTGACAATAGTCTTGGGTTCAAGACGCACGTGCGTGCATTGTGCGGGGCATTCGATTCTCTGTGACAGCGACCTCCCTTGACACACACAATAGCGATTCCTTCAGTGATGGTTCGACAAGGGCTCTATTTATGTATGTTGCAAATAAAAAGTTCTTACACAGGTACATTAGCCCCCTACAACAATTCCACAGTACCTTTGACATATCCTCCTTCATCCCCCTCGTTTTTGGTACTTGAAATTAAACTTTAGAACAACTAGGAAGACTTATGATTTTTCCCCATCAGAAGGTGGGACAGGGTCGTAGACCCTAATGGACCTGATCCCCTTGGGATCCACTTGTTTGAAGAAGTCTGTCTTGATACATTCTCAGTTGTAACTACAGATCCCCTTGGGGTCCACTCCCTTGAAGAAGTCTGTCTTGATACATTCTCAGTTGTAACTACAGATCCCCTTGGGGTCCACTCCTTTGAAGAAGTCTGTCTTGATACATTCTCAGTTGTAACTACAGATCCCCTTGGGGTCCACTCCTTTGAAGAAGTCTGTCTTGATACATTCTCAGTTGTAACTACATGTGCTCTTATTGAAGCCAATCTCTCCACTTACGTGCGAGTTTGCGGAGCACTGTTATTTCGTTGTTCTTTATCCCCTGTGACTCTGTAGTGGCGACACCAGTCCCTGGATCGAGGTGGACCTGGCTGAGAGAACGGTCGTGTCTGGAGTCATCATACAGGGAGACCCGTGGTGGGAAAACTGGGTGACGAAGTACAAGGTGTCATACCAGGCGCAGCACTCATCTGACCGTATACACGTGACAGGTGGAAACGGAAACATCACGGTACGCATGAAATATAACGAGCTGAAGTTGCTAGACGTTCAATATCTTTGCGGCCGTTGTTTCCTGTTTAATTGCAGCTGTCTGACGTTTGTGACGTTGCGCCCCTCCCCGACGGAGGCGAGGGCGCCCTCCTCCTCTAGACGCGACGGTGGACGGTACGCACCGGAGAGTCCCTGAGCGGCTAGTGACAAGTTCGTTGGGATGAAAGTATACCTTCCCCCCCTAAAATTCAATGATCTCTCGTCGTCGTTGAGATGATGCCCAATCTGATGGGCCAAAACTAAGTGACTCGATCCGGACAGAGCTGACCTGAATAAACTTCGTCTGGACACCTGACTTATACAACAATCAAAGTGGCTGGTTTATTCATCAATCACACTCCTTCAATCACACTCAACCAATACACCAGTAGAGGGCGCTATTGACGGGGAGAGTGTGATTATAAGTGACTGGACGACGCCCAGAGCAACGAACACCACAATATTAAGTACCCGATCCGACAACCCACCGCTACTTATAAGTGAGGCTAGTCAGCGTCAAAAAACATATAACAGAAGGCTCGAACAAGCCTCAGTTATAAGTTTGCCTACTGTATTGCATCATACGATAATATATTAGCATCACAGTACTTTCAGGCTATTTTGCTGCACAGGTCTCACTCATAAGTAGCGGTGGAGAGTCGGATCGGATGTATTGATTGTGGACATTCAGAGTCAAATCTGGGACTTTAGCAAGTCTACGGGGCTTATTGTCAGGGCTGCAATACACGCAACTCATGTCACGAGATAGCAATCCGCCCTTGCATCGACCGCTAGCTTCTATCAGGAACTATACCGCACCACCATTTGGCCTCTTAAATCAACCTCCCAAGCCCCTCGACGACACATGCACCACTTGGGGCTTAGGCACAGTCAAACTAGGCTAGGTGACTTTAACCCTTGCAAAGGATTCTTAACCCCTACCTCAGAATATGCCTTTGACTCAGGACTACTAACTTTGCTGCGCGCCGTTTTTATAGCTTCGCGAGCCGGCCGCTGCTGCAACTACGCCTGCGCACGCGCTACATGTGACCAAGCA